TAAATATAATATATATATATATATAAATTGTAATATATATATATAAATAACTTAATATTAAAAAAAAGTTTAAATAATTCGGGCAATTCGGGCGGGCTCGGACCATCTAATACAAGCCTGCGGCCCGTTCAAGGTGAAATTCGGGCTCGGACGGGCGGCCCGGAATTCTCGGGCGGGTCAGGCTCGGACAAAACCTCGGATTTTTCGGGTGGTCGCGGGCGGCCCGTCCAAAATTCTAGTACTAACATAGTCTTTAGATCGTTTCTATTTTTTGTTCCTAAGAAAACATGAAAAAAAATTTTCAAAATTGATTCCAAACGCGCTGAAAGTTTTGGAGGCATCCATACAAAAAAACCTTCTTCTATAGAAGTAGATTTCAATTTGCCCTTCAGCAGAGCCCCTTTTTTTCTTTGGCTTTTTTAGAGAACTCATCTCCAAAGATTGAGAAAAGACATTTCCAATGCTATTTTCGTGGAAATTTCGGTATTTCAGAAGTACCAATATGGAAATAGGTGTGCAGTATTTTTTTTTGCAGAATATTTTAAAATTTACGAGAAAATTTCTGCAGATGCCATTATTTTCACGGAAATATATATTTTTATGAAAACTGTTTTGTTAAATGACTAGATATTATAGTAGGAAATTTTATAGAAATATCGGCAAAATTTTTGAAAATATCTATGACTTTTTATATATTTCTTAATTTACTTTTCAACAATGTAAGAGTTATGTTCTTTTTTACTTCAAAGTTCATGTTTCATATCAATATTGTTTTAATCAATGACGTGTTTTAAAATTCTTAGGTCCTTATAAAAACTTTTTTGTGATTGATAATTTATCATCTTGTATAAAAACTAAGAATATAAGGTATTTGTGTCTGGTTTACTTTTAGCTATTTTATTTAATATATGAACGTAACCTTATTATTTAATAGTATTATGATCACATTTTGCTGTGTATATTCATCATAAAATTGGTATACATTTTAATTGGAAAGTTCATCTGATTTATGTAATGTTATCTATTTTAGAGTTTCATAAAGTCTCATTAAAAATAAAATCTTTTAATATAAATTTGTATATTTTACATTAATTTCTATGGGTATCGATATGTCCGTCAATGTATCCGTAAATTTTATGATAATTTTAAGTACCATGTTTCTATTAATACCCATTTTTTCATTCTTCTCATCACTCACATAAGCAGATTGGATCGGTTATGGTGTATTAGAAACTCGACCCGGACCCATCCATCAAAACTCGGGTTGGATGGGTAAAGTTTTTCCTTAACAGGAGTTAAATTTAATTTCGGTTAACAACGGATAGTTTATTGGGTAATTCGGGTTGGGTGGGTAATCGGTTTTTTTTGCACCCCTAATCTATACACCAAAACGGGTGTCTTAGCCAAAATCTCGAACAATAGAAATCAGCAGCAATGGCGGCGACAAGACGAGTGCGGGCGTTTAAACGGTGGATGAAGTCGCAGGGGATCGAGTGCAGCGACGCCCTCCAGCTCTGCGACTGCCCTTCTACCGGTCTCTCTGTGAAAGCTCTCTGCGATCTCAGTGAAGGCGACGTGGTGGCCAGAATCCCCAAGCAAGCCTGCCTCACCATCAGGACCAACGCCGCCCGCGAACTCATCGAAGCCGCCGGTCTCGACGGCTGCCTTGGGCTTTCGGTCGCCCTCATGTTCGAGCGGAGCTTGGGGAACGCCTCTGCCTGGGCGCCTTATCTTCACCTCTTGCCTTACCAAGAGTGCTTGCCTTTGGTTTGGACCTCGAAAGAAGTCGACTCCCTCCTCTGCGGAACCGAGCTCCACAAGGTATACTCTTTCTATCTACATTTGTACGCGTGTTCTGTTTTTAGTGATTTTTAATAATGGGTTGCAAGAATATGTACATGTGTGTGTGCGTGCGCGCTTTTTACATACTAAAGGGGTTGTTCTGTGATTAGTTGATTGTGGTTTAGGAATTGAAGAACTTTGATGTGTAAATGTAGGTAGACAGTGTGTTTGTTTATTTGTATACGAGTGCGTGTGTGTTTGCCTTTTACCAACCAAAAAAGATCTTCTGTAATGGGTTGATGCTGGATTAGGGGAAACGGAACTTTTTTTTTTTCCCCTTTTTTTTTTTTTTTTTTTTTGGTAATGCATTATTTATATCTGTTTATGCATTTGCTTTTATGCCAACCAAAGATGATCTCTTGCTGATGAGGGGGAATTCTACCTTTGAGCTTTTTTAATTAAACCTGGAAACCTCATGTTCTTCATAGGATGAAGGTTTTTTCTGGGTTTTTCTTGGAAAATTGATCGCTCGTGACAAGGTACAAAGTAAGAATCGTCATTTGTTTATTTCAGCTTTTTTGTGGGCATTGATGGTTAAAGATTTTCAGGTTTTTCTTTTTCTGTAATTGTTCATTTTTATTTTTAGCTTTATTTTCATTATGCTTTTATCCTTTTGTGTTTATAGAGGATACTCCCTTTTCATTATGCTTTATTTTTGGCTTTAATTTTTCATCATGATTGTTCTGGCTACACTTTGGTCATTGTGGATGGAACGAAGCATTCGCATTTTTGAAGAAGTAGAAAATGATGCTACTAGTGTTTGGGATCGTTTAAATTATTAGGTAGCACTGACATCTCAAGATAAAGATTTTGCGGCTTTTTCATTTTCAGATTTGTTGAGGGCTTGGGATCTTATTTTGAATTAAATGGTTTCGATGTAAATTTGTAATACAATTTTTTTAGTTGTGATCTTAACTTTGATGTGTGAGAATGATAAGCGTTTACTTAGGATTAGGAAAGTGTTTGTTAGGAGGCATAGGCGTGTGTAATTGGTTGGGTACTGGTTTTGGTTACTGGTTTGGAGCGTTTGGTGATGTGAATAAATTGTAATAAGTTGTATAAGGGGTGGGATTGTAAACATGGCAGTGAAGGGTCGTTAGTTGGTTAGAATGTTACTTACAGGTTGTTGAAAAGGATAAAAAGAGGAGTTAAAGAGGAGAGGGGAAAAAAGTCGGAGAAATTCCAAGCAGGTGAGAGTGACCAGTTTCTCGAATTATTGGGAATCTGGGAATTAGTTGTACTATTTCTTGAATCTTTTTTTTTTTTTTTTTCAATAAAGTTCTCAGTTTCATTCTATTGTGTTTACATTTGTGAGAAATTGCTTGAGCTTATCAAAAGACTTCTTTTCGTCTCTGTACTTTCTGCTTATTATCAATGAAGTTTTGTTTCTTCAAGAAAAAAAAAAAAAGAGGAAAAAAAAAAAAAAAAAAGGACATTCCCTTTTCTTTTTTTTTTTTTTTTTTTTTTTTTTTTGTATTTGATGTACTTATCAATGAAATGATTTGTTTTTCTTTTAAAAATGGTGGAAGAGGTCATTTCTTGTTCTTGATTGGAATTGTTAAAAGAAGACTACCAGGGAAATGGAGATGTGAGATATATGTGTGAGCGTGTGTATGTTCTTTTTCACTACTTTTTACTCAACAAAGACGATCTTTTGTGATCGGTTTATGGTGGTTTAGAAAATACAGAACTCTGACATGTTGATAGATGTAGGTAGGCAGTGAAGGAAGACAAGGTTCTTATCTATGAAGACTGGAAAGAGAGCATTTTACCTCTCTTGGAATTAGAATCCTTTCAGCTAGATCCAAGCTTCTTTGACATCAAGGACTACTTTGCCGCTAAAACTCTTATTGCTTCTCGATCTTTTGAGATTGACGATTACCATGGCTTTGGAATGGTGCCTTTGTCTGACCTGTAAGTTAGTTTGTTGTGATCTTAAGTTGGGAATTTGTTGATATCAAGGCCGTAAGTTATCAGAATTTCAAATCTTCTGTCGATATTTCAGCTATAATCATAAAACGGCAGCTGAGGATGTACACTTCACTTCAGTGTCTTCTCATTCTGAATCCGACACTGAGGGAGATAGAAACGAGATGAGTGAGCAAAGCAATGATGATGATTATGATAATGAACGTGATCAAGAACATGAACCAACTCCAGTTTCTTCCATGGATAATGTAGAGCTGGGCATTGCCTTTTCAAAGAGGAAGTCTCAGAGTGATAGCCATCTGGAAGACATGGCGGTTTGGGGGCATGAACCTGCGGCCTTGGAAATGATCATGATTAAAGATGTCAAAGTTGGAGCTGAGGTGAGTTTTCCATATATTTTCAATATCTGATTACATGTATTTTCTGGAATCCAATAAATCAATTTCCTATTAAAGGCAGAACTCTTTTGTAATAAGCGGTTGGTAATATATGCAGCTTGTAGAATTCAGTTTTAAGGGGGTAGAGTAACATATTTTGACAAACTGTTGCTGGTACTACGTTGTATTTGACTTTGAAAACTATTGGTTGGCCTTCTTTCACTACCTGACAATTCAGGTTTCAAGTTTCCCTCTTGGTGTGGATTCTTCTAAATTCTGCATCCTTTTCCTCTTGTATTAGGTCTATAATACTTATGGGTCGTTAGGTAATGCTGCACTCCTTCATAGATACGGCTTTACGGAGCCAGATAACCCGTTCGACATAGTGAACATCGATTTGGAACTGGTACTGCAGTGGAGCTTGTCTCTGTTTTCTAGCCGGCGTAGTAGAGCGAGGGTATCTCTATGGAGAAAATTGGGTTACTCTGGGTGTGTTAGCCAGAACTCTGAATACTTTGAGATTTCATTCGATGGAGAACCACAGATAGAGTTGCTGATTGTGTTGCACATACTGCTCTTACCAGAGGATGCATATCACAAGTTGGATTTTGCAGTAGCAGCTGCTGGGAAATTGGAGGAGTTTAAGGGAGACTTCGGTATGTTCTTATTTGAAGGAACATCGGAAATGAACAGGGACACGTTGATGAACAAAAATGTAGGTAGTGCTCTTTTGACGCTTGTGAATATGAGAGAGTGTCTTTATGGTACAAGTTCATTAGAAGATGATATTGAAGCATTAGAGAGGTGCTGTCCTATAAAAGAGAGGAAGCTGTACCATTCTTTGATGCTTCGAATTAGTGAGAGGAGGATTCTTGAGAAGTGCAGAACTTATGTTGCTGATGCTGCTCGGATGAGAATTAGAAAGCGAGCTTCCACGCGGAGAAAGGTGAAGAGGACTAGAAATGGCGATTACGGTACTCTATTGTGATGGTCCAATGGTTTTTTTCTTCTATTTCCTAGTAGCAATTGAGATTTGAGTTAATTGTACTGTGAACAACTCCAAGGGACTTGGATCCTCTGTTCTCTCTCTCTCTCTCTCTCTCTTCCGCCCAATCAGTTTTGGACACATTGTTTAAAATGCCGACTCAAATTTAACAGTTTTCTCACCATCTCTTGATTATTTATATGCATGGGACCATCTCTCCTTGCCTTTTTATTTGTGTGAGGTCCACAATTACATGATGCAAGGAACGAAGCTTCACTATGTTTCTAAAATTTCACTAGCCACTTTGTCAAAACTCACTACTGACTTTCACTACTGGCTTTCACATCGCCCTTTCACTAAGGATGGCAATATTCTCCAAGGAGATGGGCCCGCGCCAATGGAGAATAATTATTGACAATGGGGATGGGGATAAAATCTAGTAGTCTTGGGCTGGAACGGGAATGGGGAAGCACTCCCCGCCTTGATTTGCATATGTTATATATATTTTTTATGTAAATATATATGTTGTTTTTTTATTTTTTTATCTGAATGTAGTCTTCATTTGTTTTGTTTATATTTTTTTACCTAACTCTTTTTTTTGTTATATTGAAATACTTTATCAGCTTTAATTTGTGAAGGTTTGCTTATCATTTATTGTATTATATTCATATTAGGTTGACTTTAAGCTATTTTATTTAAGAGAAAATGCATCATATAGTAATTTTCTACGAATGCATTTGAAGTAAATGGCATTTTTTTAAAGTGCTGCTGAATCAAAGCATATGTTCAATTTTCATTTAGAATAAAACTAGTGAAATACCCGTGCGTTGCAACGGGTAATAATTTTATAGTATGCAGAGTTATTTTGAATATGATGAAGGTTAAAGATAAAGTATTGAAGATGAGTGTAAGATTAAAGAGACTGAAATTTTTTTTTTTTTTTGCAATAAGGGAGAAGAAGGTAAAAAGTTTTATATTACATGAGAGCTTCATAATTTTTACAATACAAAAATAGTTTATATATACATATTTGTACATGGATGGGCCTATATAATGTTCTATTAAATATGTATTTACATTGTAATTGAGATTTTTCTTTTGTCCTTGTGTTGCCTTGTTTTTTCTTTTTACCTGCAAGATGTATATTTTTAAAAAGTTAGTATTGATAATTGATGAAATTGAGAATATTTTGATTTAGAGGAAGTGATATTACCTGGTCCTCGGTCGTTTTGTAGATTGTTCTGTTTCTTTTGATCAAGAACTGTAATGATAAGAGTTTGTTTAGATATATATATAGAATTATAAATATTGTGTTTGATTTATGAATAATGAAAATTAGTTTATATGGCTTACTGAATAGTTGATTTTTTTGGGTCTGGAGTTTGTGGATCCACTGGTGTTAGAGTTCCTGCTATTGTCTTTGTTTGAGAGCTAAAATGGTAAAATATAGTTTATATATTAGATATCATTTTTTTATTTGTAATAGGTAGAATTCAATACAAATATTTTACCTTGTGGTTGCCGCTACAGTGGTTGATGTTGGTGTTGGTAGTGCTAGAGGCTTTGTGTCTTCAAATATTTTGGAAACTATTGCATTTATTTGTGGTCCTCTTTGTTGAAAGTATAGTTGAAAAATCTTAGTTTATCCTCTTAGTTGAGCGATGATCGGTGGGATTGTAAATGGATCAGTAAAGCCTTCATTGATTGTTAGTGTAGAGCATGGTTTTTTTATTAGGGCTTGTGCTGCTTTTCCAAATATAGTAATGTTCATGTTTCTAGTTGCATCTTCGATTTTTGCTGTTAATCTATACCTGTAACATGTAAAGTCATAGTTGATTTATGTAATAGATTAATTGTTATAGCAATGAAAATAAATTGATTTTGGCAATAGTATATTTGAAATTTTTAGCACCATGGAGATGACATTGTTTTTATGTGTCCGTGACTGTCACACCACCAACTGATTCCAACTTGTTTTAGTTGTCGATAACATCTGGGGGCAGGAGTTGTAATACCATGCTTGTTCTGTTGAGAATCCGATTATTGCAGCTTTTATTGTAAATCTTGTGCCCTATGTAGATAAGTAAAGGTTGTTAGCTTAAATAATATAATCAGAACAAAAAATAAACAGGTAATATTATTATTCTAACCTCGCTCCTTTGTTGATGTAATGTCTTTACTTCATCAATTGTTGTTCTATTTTGTGTTTTTTGTTCTTCAATGGACTGGCTTGATGTTGTTGATGCTGTTGTAAAGTCAATTTCTTGATATTGGTGAGAAAACCTGTAGATACAAAAGTAGGAATGATTAGGAAAAGAAGTAATAGAAAATTTTTAGTTTTTAGATATTGTGAATTATTTTTCTTAACTTGTTTTTAATGTTGTTGTGTCTGATATTTGTGGGTCAATATAAAAAATTGTTGCTGCAGTGCTTGAGACGTATGCATTTCCTAAGATTTGGACCATGAATTGATCAATATCTTGATGTATTTTTGTGTATGTACTTTGTTTTTATATGTAAGGATTTTTATAAAATATTGAGAAAATATATAAATATTGTTTTACTAATATTGCTGCAAAAACTGTAACTGGTCCTTTCATTGATTTGAGAACATTTTCATCAAATTGGTCTGCTTTGTGTCTCCATAAAGTAACCTGAAGTTGTTCATTTCTATTGGAAAAAGAAAATAAAAAAAATGAAGATTAGAATGGAATGTTCTAAGTGATGTAAAAATTATGTATTTGTTAGGTATGACTTTTTCTAATATAATTGTCGTGAAATTTGTGTAAAATTTATTTACCTTATGTTTTGTATCATTATGGTATGCCGTGATGTTTATCTGTTGTTAATATTTGTTTGTTCTGTTGTTTGTACTCTTGTCAGGATACCGATGACATCTGTTGGTACATAAATATATAATGAAAAGAATATAGATAAGTAAGTTAATAATGATTTTTTTTTTTGGAGAAGGTAGTTTATATTACTGGTTAAAATTTCGGTTGTTTGGATTTTATGTTGAAGCTGATCAAATTCAGTGAAATAAAACCTGTGGAATGGAATGGGAAGCGTTTCCTCTGTAACTGGAAGAAAAACTGTTGCACGTGCAAATTGTAAAATTGTAGGATGTGGAACGACTTTGTAAGTTGGCTTGTTTTGTTTGACAAAAAAGTTGCTGATGTCGTATACATTGCGTAGTTGAATTTTTTGAGAAATGATGTCGGAATCACGTGCTCGAATTGATCCTTGAATTGCCTCGTGCTGTAGATAAAAAATATGAGAATGTTATTTATTTTATAATATTATATAATATCAAACATGCTATAATATAGTGTTTGCAATAGGTATTACCTCTTCATCGACTAAAAGACAATTAACGCTTATTAAAAGTCCTGTTGCTAAGTCATTGTTTGTCCATAATCTACAAATTCGTGCCCTAATAGTTTGATAAACTTCATTTGGTTTTAATGCACCGATTAGTGTTGTCATTTTTCCTAATGATTGACAAAGAAAGATCATTATTTAATACATTTTTTCTTTAATATAATTTGGATATTTATCAAATATTTGATTAAAATGTTGATACATTTCTAAAGTAATATGATGTGCAGGTTGATTTAATTCTAAGGGGGTTTTTTTTTTTTTTTTTTTTCTTATTCTTGTCTTATTCATTTATTAATTATAGTATAAGATTATTTAAAAGATGAGAAAATATGAAAATATTGTTTTTGACCCAATATTTGGGAATTATAGTTTAATTTTTTGTTTTAGATTAAAAATATTGAAGCGTTATTTATTAATCAAATGTTAATCAAAGATTCAAGTTGTTGATGTAAATTGTTATTTTATTATTGATCAAAGATATTAATCAAAGATTTTAAAGCCATGTATTGTATATTTATTCTTATATTATTTAATTAATTGTTATTTTAGTGTGGAATTATTTTGTAAATTATGAAGACTACATTTTATGTGGACTGAAAAGAGCTCTTTATATAGGTTGGATTTGTTGGGCTTTGATGCTTATTTTATTATTATTGAAAGGGGAAAGTTTGATAAATGAGCTTTTAAGGGGTTGTTTGGTTTACCCGGTTTACTCGAGAAAGCCCACTCGAGTTATGATTCCAAGCCCAAGTTCATGTTCGGAGAAGAAAAACTCGAAATGGAACTCAAAAATTTTTTCGAGTTATTACCCGGTTTTTGAGTTCACCTTCCCCCTGCCACTTGAGTTATTTTTCTGCACATCTACAGTGCAGATTCCTGCACTTCCCGTTGCAAGCTTTGTTCTTTCTCAGCTTTTCTACACTGCAATCATGTGGTTCTCCTGTATCCTTGATTCGAAACCGGGTTTAGTCCTCCAACCTTCATCGATTTCTGAAGCCCTCAATCCGTTGCCCGATTTTCCCCCAATCTCCGGATTTCGAATCCGCCGCAGACACCATCGACCCCCCTTCCGCATGTACCGTCACCCCCTTCCTCTACCATTGTCGTCTACTGTTACCCCTTCAAAACGGGGAGATTTGTTGGGACAACGTCGGTGCGGCGACCTAGGTGGGTAAACCTCCTCCTTCGACGTAGAGGAAACGATGCACGCCGTAAAACTGTCCAGCCGAGACGTCAATCCTTGGTCCTCTACCTCTGTCGTCGCCGGTACCTCGGACTTGCTATCCCTTCCTCGCATTTGGGGAATCTCCAAGGGAACCACATCTCCTCCTCCATAGGCTCGAATTCGGTAAGTTTTTTCCAAAACCTTGTGTTCAGTTTATGGAAAATACTTGTGGTGGTTTCTAGACCCAAATTCGAGCACTAGTATTGGTGAATTCACATGTTCTTCTATTGGCAAAAAAAAAAAAAAACATTTGTAGTTAAATTTTTTGGTGATTTCAGCCTCTAGATTTCATCGGATCACTTGTATTTTGGAACCCTTTTTTGTTAGTTTTTGAAAAAAAAACCAACATGTTCTTCTAGATGGCATCTCCGTGAACCTACGTTGGCATTTCTGGTGATTTTTTCATATGCTTTCAGCCTCTATACTTCATCGAGCACTAGTATGTTGGACCCCTGTTTTGTAGTTTCTGGAAGAAAAACTTTAACTGTTTCCAGTGATTTCTCTTCTAGATTGCATTGAGATATCAGTTCACCCGCTGCCATTTTTTTGGCTATGTTCGTATTGTGTAAAAACCAGTGGCTGTTCTAGTGTTTTTTTGGTGTTTTCAGCCTTTATACTCTGTCGGGGCACTAGTCTGTTGCAACCCCTTTGAGATTGTGGAATATGTCATTTGCATTTTGATGTGCCCTGTTGATCTCTAACAGTCCTAAATGTTTGCCGGTCACCAATTTACCCATCTTCACCCTACCGTAAGCTAGTTTCTGGAAAAAAAATAGAAACTTGTTTCTAGTGATCTCTCTTCTATATTGCATCCAGAGAACAGTATCTAGAGGGCCTTTTTTGCCTATGTTGGTAATGTTGGAAAAACAGTGGCTTGTGCTGGTTATTTTTTTGGTGCTTTCAGCCTCTATACTTCATCGGGGCACTAGTTGTTGGAACCTCTTTTTGTTCAGTTTTTGGAAAAAAAACCAGAACCTGTTTCCGGTGATTTCAGCGTCTAGACTTCATCAAACGCTGTGAATGCTTATGTCCACACACACCTGCTAGGTTAGCTACATTACGTACCTTGTTCATCTGTTAAGAATGTTCTCTATGTGCATCGTTCTATACTTACATTATTTGGCATCATTTTTGAATATTCTTTTCATATGTACATTTGTAAATCCTGCTGTGCAGTTTCTGGAAAAGAAAACAGAAACTGTTTCTGGTTTTTTCAGTTTCTAGATTGCAATTCTCCGTGGCTATGATGATATAATTGTATTTAATGGCCTAGTCCCGTATGTCGAGTGATATTCTGTGGCTGGGTTAGTGGTTGGTTGCCGGTTTATCCCATTACTCTTCGTTGGTATGGTTGCTTTAATTCACTTTCAATGCCTTGCTTGATCAATATGGAGACATTAGCTAAACCTTAGGCAGCATATTGGTTGCCGGTTTATGCATAACATCATGGCATAAAGTGTATGAGAAACCTACCAGTAAGAGTAATTGAACATAAACCTTGGTAGCCTAACTGTCCTAGCCTTGGATAATGCTCCATAATAGGACGATGACTGGCCTTTACACAAATCTGAGCCTCCTTCCAACATCCGAGCTCATTAAATGAATTTTGTATGCTATGTACATACGTATTGCTGCCATTATGGTATTGTCAATACATAGATGGCGAGAAGGAGAGATAGAGATGTAAATTGGAGCCCGGAAGCCGAGGAACAACTGCTTAAACGGCTAGGTGAGTTCAATTTATTAAACTCTGTAGGTACCACCCCCACCGAGATAAATACACACAATGGGCGGCGGAGCTAAGTGAGCATTTTACCGTTCCCCTAACTTGGGACAAAGTCAAACAAAAAGCCAGTAGACTGAAGAAAACGTTTGATGCTGAGTTTCTACTTCGCACTGCCACCGGACTTGGATGGGATCCGATTCAAAAGAAACCCACTTGCACTGACGAGTATTGGCAACAATTTATCAGTGTAAGTTTCTAATAGTATATGTCATT